AGTCTTCAGCCACTCCAATAAAGATAATTTTAAACACTAATAACTTTATATAGTAACAACAACAACAACAAAAAACAACCAGTTGACTGTGAAACTGAGTGCGTGGGGCTGGGATCAGCATTGGAGAGTGGCTAGGAAAGGCTGCCCTGATGATACATATGAGACTTTAGCTGAGAATCCTAAGTGCTAAGAAGGGACCAGACATTGGAACATCCATTGGAAGAGATTCTGAGCAAAGGAAACAGCTAAGTCTTGAAGCAGAACAAGTCTTTCTGTTTGAGAACCAGAAAGAACGCTAGTATAACTACAACTTAATGTGCAGATGGGGGATCACTCTGATACAAGGACAGAGAAGAAGGTAAGTTAGCAAATTTGAAGGTTGAGGATTAGGGACTTTCGTTGGTGTGATGGCTTCTATTTTATTTTCATAAACTGTGTGAAATCACATTATATGTTGAAAAGTGGTAGAGATTGTGTAGGAGTGAAATAGTTATCTTGGAGAAGAAAAATTAAACAAGTTTCCAAATAACATTCAAAGTTCATTTTAAGTCTATGGTTATGACTCAAAAAAGAGTGTTTTCTCATGCAATGTTCAGATGCTTCTGTGTGGGCAGAAAGTAGGCAGAAAGTTGGATTTATCTATTTTAAAATCTATTAAAATACCACCCCCCCCCTTGGAAGTTTTAGAGACATTGGCTGCTATTTATTCCCAAAAGAAAGGTCATTTTCAAATTCAACAATATCTAAAGAATCCTGTGGAATCATGATTCTATACTTACTTTATCATAAAGAAAACAAAAATCCTCACAAATGGACCAATAAGCAACATCATGACAAATGGAGAAAATATTGCAGTTGTAAAGAATTTCATTTTACTTGGATCAACAATAGAATTGGAAGGCAAGTTATCATTCATTCAAACAATCATAGAAGACAGAATATAAGCACACTTCACCATTTATTAAGTCCCTGCTAACTGTACAGATTGGGGAGGTTGTTGTTGTTAGGTACCATCTAGTTGGTTCCAACTTATAGCCATCCCATTCACAACAGAATGTAATACTACTCAGTCCTGCACCATCCTCATAATCATGTATTTTGAGTCCTTGTTGAAGCCACTGTATCAATACATCTCATTGAGGGACTTCCTTTTTATCAAGCATGCTGTCCTTCTCCAGGGATTGGTCCCTCTGGATGACACATTCATTCAAAGGATGTGAGATGAAGTCTCCCCATCCTCACTTCTAAAGATCGTTTTGGCTGTACATCTTCCAACACAGATTTGTTCATTCTTCTGGCAATCCATGATATATTTAATATTCTTCACTAACATCATAATTCAAAGGCACTGGTTCTTTGTCATTGTTATTCCTTGTTCAACTTTCACATGCCTGTGAGGTGATTGAAAACACTGTTATCAGGTGCACCTTAGGTTTCAAAGAGACGTCTTAACTTTTTAACACTTTAAAGAGGTCTTTTGTCACAGATTTATCCAATGGAATATGTTGTTTGATTTCTTCACTGTTACTTTGGGTGTTGATTGTGGATGTTGATTGGCACTTACATTCTAAAGAACACAGCATTTCTCAATCCTTGACACCTCTAATCTTTTCTCTATCATGATTTTGCTTAGTTAGTATTTTTGTTCTCTATGTTGAATTGCAATCCATAATGTAGTCTGTAGTACTGATATTCATCAGTAAGTGCTTGCTTTAAGTTCTCTTCCTTTCAGTAAACCAGACTGTGGGTCTCTAAATATTGTAGGTAGATAATAAGTCTTCCTCCAATCTTGATGCCATTTTCTTCTTCACATGGCCCAATTTCTCAAATTATTTGCTCAGCATAGAGATTGCACCCACCACTCACCTGCCAGCTTGTTGTACTGTGGCAGCTTGTGTGTTGCTGTGATGCTGGAAGCTATGCTACCAGTATTTTAAATACCAGGAGGGTCACCAATGGTGGACAGCATTTAACAGAGCTTCCAGACTAAAATAGACTAGGAAGGAGAGGCTGACCACTTCTGAATGGTTAGCCACTGAAAACTGTATAAACAGTAGTAGAACATTGATAAATGACTAGGAAAGGGCTGCCTCTTTAAAGTAGAGTGGACTATAATGATGTGGAAGGAACCAAGCTTTCAGGATCTTTATTGCTAATGTGGCACAGCTCAAAATGAGAAAAAAAACAGCTGCAAACATCCATAATAATAAAAACCTAGAATGTATGAGGTATGAATCTTAGGAACATTGGAAGGTGTCAGAAATGTAACACATAAAGATCGATATCATAGGAATTACTGAGCTGAAATGGATTAGTATTGGTTATTTTTAATCAGATAATCATATGTTTACTAGGCCAGGAATGACAATTTGAAGGGGGAATGGCATCACATTCATTGTCAAAAGAACATCTCAAGAGCTCTATTGACGTACACTATTGTCTCTTATAGGATACTGTCTACATGTCTACAAGGAAGACTATTATTCATATTTACATACCAACCACTATAGCCAATGATAATGATACTGAATTTTACTAGCTTCATCAAGATGCATGGATAATTATCGGTGATTGGGATACAAAAATTGGAAAATATGGCCATTG